GAGACCCTACCAAGCCCTTCTTTAACCAGGGCTCTGTAGGGTCTCACCAGAGCTATGTGGGGGTCTCACCAGCCTGGTTAGACCCCTCAGAGCCCTGGTGAGATCCCACACTGCCCTGGTTAAACCCGGACTCTGTAGGGTCTCACCAGCACCAGGGCTCCGTAGGGTCTCACCAGGGCTCTATGGGGTCCCACCATGGCTATGTGCAATTTCACCAGCCTGGTGAGACCCCTCAGAGCTCTGGTGAGACCCCACAGAGCCCTGGTTAAAGTAGGGTTCAGTGGGGTCTCACCAGGGCTCTTTGGGGGTCTCACTTGGGCACTGTGGGGTCTCACCAGCCTGCTTAAACCCCACAGAGCCCTGGTGAGACCCTACCAAGCCCTGCTTTAACCAGGGCTCTGTAGGGTCTCACCAGAGCTATGTGGGGGTCTCACCAGCCTGGTTAGACCCCTCAGAGCCCTGGTGAGATCCCACACTGCCCTGGTTAAACCCGGGCTTTGTAGGGTCTCACCAGCACCAGGGCTCCGTAGGGTCTCACACGGGGCTCTATGGGGTCCCACCATGGCTATGTGCGATTTCACCAGCCTGGTGAGACCCCTCAGGGCCCTGGCAAGACCCCACAGAGCCCTGGCAAGATCCCACAGAGCCCTGGTCTCACCAGGGCTCCATGGGGTCTCACCATGGCTTTGTGGGGTCTCACCAGGGCTCATAGGGGGTCTCACCACACTCCGGGGGGAAACACCTTCACCCCCTTCTCTTTCCTAGGAAGCCGGGTTAGGGGGGGGGCTTTACATTTGGTTCTGCCCTCTTCGGTTAGAATGAGTCACACTTTAATGATCACTTTAATAACTCCTTCATGGCACACCCAGCGGTACCACACAACCCCAAAAGCCCCATGGCTTTGTGGGGTCTCACCAGGGTAGCAGATTTTGCCTTGTACACACATGCGATGACTCACCGGCCCAAGAGTGAGGAGGAGACTCAGCCCAAGTGATTCCGTCAGGTAACGAAGGGAAGGGGGAGGAGTCTATGTCCGTGACGTCACCGGACTCCTCCCTCCTTCCCTTCGTTACCCATCACGGACAACTACATCACCCGACTCCTCCCCCCTTCCCTTCGTTAGCCGACAGAGCCACTCGGGGAAGGGGGGAGGAGTCCGGTGACGTCGATGTCCGTGACGTCACCGGATCTCCGACGGAAGACCCGGAAGCCGGCGGAGAGGTGAGTAACTTTGATCGATCAAAATAATTTTGATCGATCAAAGAAATTAACGATTTATTGACGGCACACCAGAAAATATCTCACGGCACACTAGTGTGCCGCGGCACAGTGGTTGAAAAACGCTGGTCTAGAAGACCCTGGCAGATGCCGGCCAATAGAAAACAGCCAAAAAGTTGTTGTTTTTTTTTCTTTTTAATTTTTTTTTAAATCTTTCTTTTTTTAAATTTAATATTTATTTACATTTTTTAAAAGTTTTTCAACTTTTTTTTTACAACTTTTTTCACTATTTACTATTTGCTATTCTGCTCTGTACCACTTAGGTATTTGGCTATTCACTCACTGCCGTTCAGCCCCTATGTGAATAGGGGCGAACGGCAGTGAGTGAGCTGCCGGAGCGTCGGCTCAGCCGATCCAGATGTTGGAGCAGAGCATGTTTGGCTGACCGAACTGAAATCAGCCGTACTGAGCCGTATTGAATAGCTGAACGTTGTTCAGCTCACTTCACTACAGCTCAGTTATTCAGATGGCTGCCTTCGGCAGCTTTTTGAATAACCCCCCATAATGTTCATACTAGGTGAAATAGAATGGCATATGCATATATGTAAGATATGCTGCCTATTTCTGACACCACTCAAAGCCAAGAGATCACTTTTCAGAGGACTAAGAGTGGCCATACACTCCCAATACCTGTAAGTGTAGTGGAGAGTCAAAGGGATCTGCTCATGTATCACTGACAACAGAGTTTAAATATACTTCAAATGCTGATTTTCAAGATTTGACTAATCACAGTTAAACAATACTCCAGGGGGTTCTTGCCTGTATCCTTTCAACTTCTAGAAAAGTTGCAGTGTGGAATGCTTTCTCCCAGGTTATGATTTCATTCTCCAGCTCCACAGAGAAATACAGGTCTTCACCAGATTCAGACTGAACTCCAAAGCAGTGTTTCCGCCGGTCCAAAAGATCACTGTCCTGATTAAAACCTGAAGTTATACAATCTGGCATACATCAAGTAATATTTCTTACATTTCCCATATTTAAAAATACCACATTAACCTGAACCATGGAGATGAACAGCCCAACTATAATGAGTGGGGCATAAGGAGCAACATTGGCCACTGCTTTGTCTAAATTGCAATGATAACCAATATTTTTTACTATAAAAAATGTCAGCATTACCATTTTACTTTTAGGATACATTAATATATTCATGGCAGGACAGTGACAGGACAGTGGCTTAGTGGTTAGCACATCTGCTTTGCAGCACTTTGGCCCCCGGTTTGAATCCTGGTCAGGATGCAGTTTGCATGTTCTCCCTGTGCTTGTGTGGGTTTCCTCCCATACATCAAAGACATACTGGTAGGCTAATTGGATGCTGTATAAATCGGCCATGGAATGTGTTTCATTTGAGGTAGATTGTATACTCGTTGAGGGCAGGGACTGATATGGATGTGCTGTGTAAATTGTCAGTGATATAGAAATACCTGTAATAACAAACAAATCTAATGTAGGGGTTTTTACTTACTAATGAAATGTTTTTTGTTTTTTTTTAAACTATGAAATCATTTTAACTGAATGCAAAAAACAATCTTTCAGTTCCCCTGGCAGCTTAATAGTTAACATTTTACAGGGTGCAATGATATGAAAGACGATATCAATAGACTATACTCTATACTGTATCAAATATTTGTTTTTTATATACACTGTTAAACTAGTATTATAATCCATAAAGATGTGCTGATGGACTGATTCTTTAAAAAGTACCCAAATCCCAAACTTTTTTTTAACAGGGTTATTCACAAAGCTGCCGAAGGCAGCCGAGTGAATAACCCACCCGAAGTGAAGTGAGCCGACTGCTGTTCGGCTATTCACTTCAGGCTTGTACAACTGATTTCAGCCATACATCAACTGAAATCAGCCGTACATCGGCTAGCTTCTGCCACACTTCGGTCAGCAGAACATGTTCAGCAGGGCTACGGCAGCCGAAGCTATCTGAAGGATCAGCCGCAGCTACAGCTGATCCTTTGGCTACCTTTGTGAATAACCCTCTAAGTTTTGGATGGAGTGGTGAGGGGTTTGCACTCCTTTTTTTTACCCATCTGTCTCCCCAATGGGGGAGACAGATTACAAAGATGAATGATAGGGAAATCTCTCAATGGGGATGCTTATCTGGAGACTGCTGTCTATAAGGTGCCTTTCCGTGACTTTGGAGGGATCTCCTCTCACTCCCTGTTGTGTCTACAGGACATTAAGTGAAGGGAAATCTCCCCAATAAGAAAGATTTCATAAAAAGCTGACATGGCGTTTAACCCTTCTCTAGTCTAGCCAACTAGTATATTTTGATGTGACCCCATTTTGGGATAGCCTGCCCAAATTTATTATTATTATTATTATACAGGATTTATATAGCGCCAACTGTTTGTGCAGCGCTTTACAATATAAGGAAGACATTACAATTACAATACAATTCAAGACAAGATGGTAAGGAGGGCATTTGGCATTAGCATGCCTGCTCTAACACAAAACAGACTAACACAAATACTCTGTGGAAAATATTATTGAACATTTTTAACAGTACATTCCCATAATACATTCTAAATCATTTAAACAGTAACGTGTTATTTTATATTCTACCTAAAATTTATAATTACCTTAAAAACTTTACACATTATTTCATACACAGTAAATTTTTTCTCTGATCGCATCCAGTCCCACGTAGTAACCTTAGAAAGAAAAATAGTAGCATAACTATAGAACTATAAAATAATGAAAAAATGCCTATAAAAGAACAGGTTATTAGAGTTTTAGGAATGATCACAGAAGCATGTCATTGCAATCTTTACTTACTGGAGGTGAATTGAATTTATAAAGTGATGAGCCTCTTAATGCCAGAAACTTTGGTGTGTATAAATGGTCTTGGAGATTATCTTGCTCCCGCTCTTCAACCCAACCCATGTATATTATCTGTTAGGATAACATAGGAATTATAAGAACTGTGTTCAATGCAGATATATTGTTGAGCTTTGGGAAAATGGAACAATTAAAGAAATAGATATTTACCATTTCAATCAACTAATATACAAATTCTCTTCTCAACAGTATAACCACTGTATGATGGCTATAGTGCCATATGCAGAGATATCCCATGTCATTTCCACAATTTTAATTAAAGCAACGAAAAGTTAATTATTAATGTCAGTAAACGGCCAGAAAATCTACACAAGGGTCTCATGTGCCATCCTTGTTTTACATACATCATATCACATCACAGGGGAACATGAACTTCTCCTGTAGTGAACTCTGAGACACACTCCATCAGTACAATAACCAATAGGCTTTAGCATAGGACAACATTAAAGGGAGCACAGTACACAGAACACAGTAGTCCTGCTTTAAAAACTGTGCCCATCAGATAGCATTAATAAAAAAAAACTGACTGGAGAACATTTTTAATTGAGTGGAAAACATTTGCATCATGCATTTGAAACTTCTTTGAAGAATAGTGTACAAAGCAAAATACATCATGCAGGAATCTAGATCATCAATTGGAATTTACTTAACTTAATCAAAACCAATGAAAAAATCTGATTGACGGTTATAGCTTACTACACTTTGCATTGTGCATGTCCCATTTAATTTGTGTGCTTTATTTAATAGGTCATCCATGCTGTTAAGTAACATAACCCACACTGTCTAAAAACCTACTATAGCAAGGTTTCACTTTCCATTGTAGCCATCATGTAAGCTTGACTTTGGTCAACATCCTTTGTTTTAACTTCAAATATTTATTTGCTCCAAAATAAGAGGTCTACTCTAATCAATTTGCTGAACTACAAATCCCATGAGACTTTGCAAGATTCTCACAGCCATAGACATGACTCCCAGAGAGAGATGCTTCATGGGATTTGCAGTTTCACCACAGCTGGAGGACCGGAGTTTGGCCATCCCTGATTTAAATATACAGTAGCATTGTTCTATTGTTATTATATAACAAAACAGCTTATGTGAGAATCTGGCTCAGTAAGGTTGGTGGCAAATAACATATACAGCATTATACAATAAATTGTTTTTTGCTCTTGAAGTGACCCATGATACTCCTTCTGCTATCCCATCTATTAGTGAATATGCTGTTGTAAACTTTATTGCTTCCTTTTCATGTCACAGTGCTCTAGAAATCCCAAAACAGCAACTGTGATCAGCTGTGTAAAAACTGACTGTAACTTCAGAAGTCTGCCTAAATAGAGTGGCATCCTTCTTCACTACATATTGGTCATAATTGTTTTATTTGATTTTTTGCTATTGGTTGACAGCTCAGTGACCTGTCAGCTGATATAAAAAAATATCAACCAACTGTCACTCCAAAGACACACTGGAAGTTTAATTGGCTCCTGTCTAAATTGGCCCTATATGCATGTGTGCATTAGGGACCTTAGACTGTAAGCTCCTTGAGGGCAGGAACTGATATGACGGTGCAGTATGTAAAGTGCTGCGGAAATTGTCGGCACTATATAAATACCTGTAATAAATAAACAAACTAAATAACTGAGAAAAGAGGGATGATGTAATTGTACCTGGGAGATGTACTACATAGACATACTGCACTGGAATATCCCACTAATGAAGTTGATTTTTAAACAGAGTTTTATAACTGCAGTAACCCACAGCACTCAATTAGAATATGTCATATAATGATCTAACTTCAGCAGCATAAATTGTAAGTGGGTACTATTAGTTACTACATTTGGTAATAAAAATGGACAACTGAATATGACTGTGTGTAATCTATTTTAGATTTTTGGAGATATGGTAAAATATATATATATATATATTTGTCACATTAAGTTCTTCCATGTGCATTATCAAAATGTTTGATTTCAGGTTTAGTGATCTGTCAAATGAGATGTTGTCGTACAATGAGCAATAATAGACTTTACTGCATTTTACTAACAGGAAAAGTCACGGAAGGCACATACACTAAGAACTTTTGTCACACCAGATTACTTTGAGGATGACAAATTAGATGCCATCACTGATGAAGTGGAGTATGAAGTGCCCACCAGGTAATTTAGCTAAAGGGTCCTCTGCTGACGTTGAGATAATTCTCTTTTTCCTGTGATAGAAGCATGTTATGCTCCTAGAGCAACACAGTGATAAAATACTGAAAAGAGATGATTGTGTGATACCTTGGAGGCTTTTTGGCAAGATTAAAGTAATTGTACAATAAGTGAATATCAGCCAGACTAGATCTTTTTAGACTTAATGCAATAATTGATCTTTGTGAGGTGCTTTCAAAGTTGACCGATATCCATCAATGTTTATGAACAGCTGATATTGTCCCATTTTGAATACTATTCCAAATGGACACTCACATTTAAATACGTAGAAAAGGGTGCATATGCCGTCTACCAGCCAACAGCCTGGGAAATCTCTCCATTAAGCTCCCTGAGACATATAAGCAGCTGGAGGCATATCAAACTACTGACATCTACCGATATTGCAATATTAATTGTGGCTGGATTAACTTGAAAAAATCAGTCCATGTATATGCTATATAGCCAAATGTTTTTGAACACCTCACCATCACACCTACTTATATTGTCAAAAGTATATAGACAGCCCTCCAAATGAATCAGGTGTTTCCAATAAAAGTTGCTGTTACTACACGACTGTGCCTCATGCATAAAGTTAGCTCCATAAAGACATAGGGGTCTATTCACTAAGCTGCCGTAGGCAGCCGAGTGAAAGACCGACCTGAAGTGAAGGGAGCCGAACGCTGTTCGGGTATTCCCTTCAGGCTGGTACGGCTGGTTTCAGCCGTATATTGGCTGAAATCAGCCGTACATCGGGAGGCTTCACATGGCTTCGGGTCGGCCGAACATGCTGAGCACGATTGTGCTCAGAGCTAGCAATGACAGCTAGCTCCACCCAATAGTTTTCTATTGGCCGGCGGTTCTGCTGCCGTAAAAAAAAAAACAGAAGGAAAAAAAAACTCTCCCGGGCGCTCTGGGAGTCTCCCGCTCCCGGCCGCCCAGGAGAGAAACACTGCTTTCTCTTTTTTTTTCTTTATTCTGACACTGAGCCAGAATAGAAAAAAAAAATTTTGCCCATAGGAATGCATTGCTAGATTCCTATTGGCTATTTTAATTTGCAATAGCCAATAGTAAACTAGCATTGCACCTGCCCTCTGCTGCAGTTCTCCATCAGGTCCATCAGCAGGGGGCGGGTGTAATGCTAGTTTACTATTGGCTATTGCAAATTGAAATAGCCAATAGGAATCTAGCAATGCATTCCTATGGGCAAATGGACTCTGTGTCAGAATAAAGAAAAAAAAGAAAAAGCAGTGTATCTCTCCTTGGTGGCCGGAGCAGGAGACTTCCGGAGCGCCCGGGAGAGTTTGCTGTCTGGCGATCAGTGTCCCTGGTTAGCTGGTAACCAGGGATGCTGATCTCTCTGCAAGTGACCGGAGCCAGTCGTAAGATCACGACTGGCTCCGCCCGGGTGTCAGAAGCAGGCTGTCGGCTGGCCAATCGCCGGCTGCTTGGCCAGCTTCGGCTTTCAGTGCGGCTCAGCCGAGGCATATGCCTTCGGCTCGACTGAGCCGCTCGGCTAAGTGCGGGAGCTGTACAGGCTATATTGAATAGCCTGTACAGCAGCCCTTCGGTTCTACTGAACCAAAGGGGTCCTGGGGCCGAAGCTAGCCGAAGGATCGGCCGAAGCTACGGCTAGATCCTCGGCTGCTTCGTGAATAGACCCCATAGTATGATGGGTTTGATGTAGAGGAACTCAAGTGATCTGCACAAAGCCTTGGCCTCAGCCCCAATGAAAACCTTTTGGCTGAAAAGGAATGCTGATCATAAGCTAGAAGTTCTTGTTCAACAGTACCTGACCTCACAATTATTATTTTTTGTCGGAATGGGTGACTGTTATAGATGCAAAGGGCTCATATTACTGTCCAACAAGCTCCTATGTATGTTTTAAGGTTAGGTGTCCACAAACATTTGGTCCTAATTACAAGCAACCTGATCTTCCGTTCTATGCTGTTGGATTACTTTGGTCCTTGGCATGCTATCAAATAGCAGAGCAACCGCTTATTTAAAGGTTAGGTGCACCCTTAAACATAGATGCAATTAGCTATCATTCCTTATATGGGTATATCATTTTATACAATATATCATAGAAAAATTAACTTTTCCTATGCTGTTTTTTTTGTAGTAAAGGTTGACTTCTGCACTGTGGTAAAAGCACCAACTGCATTTTTCTCAATGGTCATGTGCCACTGCAAGGTCAATGTATGCAGTGAGATATGAGAGAGGCAGCACTACAGGAAGAAAAGTTGCACCAATCTCAGGCAGGCCACATGGTTAAAAGGCACATCTGAGCAAGTTAGGGGCTGTTTGGGCTTTTGGTTACATGGTGCATTTATCTTTCAATGAGTCAGATAATCAAAAGCCTAACTCCAACCCAAATTTGTTTTATGTTTTCGACAGAGTGGGGAAATGTAACATTTCTTTCATGGGAAGACTTTTCTATGGATGAGGTTGTACACAACACAGGAAGGAACATGCAGCAATAAAAGCCCTCTGAAGTTATAAACCCTTCCACACTCTACTAATAAAGGCATTTATTTTTGTCTTTGTCCGTATGGGACAGATTTCCCATCACTCAATGTCAGGTATTCTCCCCACTGGAAATTAAATAGCATTAAAAAGCTGACAGTTGCTCTAACCCTTCCCATCTCTGTCCAAAACCACATAAAACACTTTGGCTGGAGTTGGGCTTTAATAGACATTTTTACTGAGAAATGAAAAACATACATTTACCATATGTGAAAGGCAACTGAAATTTCTAGCACTATAATCTTGTAATGCAGTTCAACCTGCATAACAATAACTGAATCACATTTATGGCCAGTCCCTCTATGCAAAGTACATTTCATTTTTCTCCATTTATCTAGGTGGCGTGTA